GTGGGGGGGGGGGGGGGCAATAAGGAGCAGGAAGGGCTCCTTGCCATGGCCACCCCTCCTGCTTGATGGAGGCTGCGTGGCCCAGCTATGCCAGCTGTGCTGACCACCCCTCTCTGTTTTTAGGACTATAACATCGACGAGGAGGCAGCGTTGCAGGCTGCCCTGGCACTGTCACTCTCTGAGAACTGAGGGTGACTGCAGCGCATCGGTTCAGACCCCCCTCGCACCCCGTCTCCTTTTGCACACTCGGCCTTCCTTCCGGGGAGGCACAGAGCTCGTCAACCCCCCGGAGACCCGCTGCTGCCTCTCTTCCCTCTCCTCTCTGGGCAAATCCCACCTTGTTTAAGAAGGTGGAGTCTCTTTAGCGTCGCACTGGACCGGTGAGTGAGCAGAGACATCCGCTGCTGGGAGGAGAGAGGAGTCGGCGCCAAAGGGCTGGGACCGTTCCTCGGTTAGGCATTTCATATCCGTATACAGAGTATATACGTGTATCCAGATCTATTTATTATTAGATGCTTTTTGGCACCATTTGTCTTCATGCTCTCTGTTGCAATTGAATAGGTACGTAAAACTATGATGCATTTTATGCAGAAATGCCCTAGTTTGAAACTGCAATCATCCACGTCCTTTTTGAAAAGGAAGAAAATGGCACGGAGCATCTTTTTTTAAACTCCACAAAGCTGTTTCCAGAGACGTCAGGCTGTCCCATCCCCTGTGCTGCAGGAAGGAGCTGCCTCCTTTGCCTGCTACTGCACAGGCCAGGCCAAAAGCAGGCTGGGCTGAATCCTGGGGAGCGACGGTTGCTCTCGCGTGCCCTGTGATGGCAGTGGGTTCGGAGGAGTCCGCGGGGATGGCGTCCGGCGTCCAGTGAAACTCCCACCTTCCTCGTTTTGTACCGGCTCTTGTGATACTGAGTTCTTGCATTTTTCTACATTAATTGGCGTGAAGCCTTTTCCACGTTTTATAGAGCGGGAACAGAAGCTGTTACTCTTCACACTGCAATATCCGTCACCGGGGACAAG